AATCGTCATAACAATCAATAGAATAAGCAATTACTAAAATAATGGTTAGTTGGAGCCATGCTTTTAAATGTTTCTCATTACCAATCAGAGAGAAGGACTTCCTGACGAAGATGGTAGAGTAGAGACGAGTCTCTCGCAGGTAATCGGCGACTTGGCCGCTCAGCACGGCCATCAGAGCGCAGCCCAGGTACGGCAGAGCGGAGAGAAACCCATTCTGTCAGGACAAACATCAAAATATTCGTCCTTTTAACAGAATCTATCTGGCATTTCCTGCCTGCGTTTATCATCTATAACAAAACATGCCATTATTTTTTAGACGTCGCGCAGCCTTTCTCACCTGCTGTATGCTGAATCCCAGGATGTCGTTCATGTAAGTCGGCAGGAGAGTGAGGAGCGTGTAGAAGGTCCAGTTGTAGGAAAAGTGAGCCACGACGATGGCCATCAGCGGCATCGAGGTTACGATGGCTCGCCAGGGGATGTGGCCCGCAGAGGTAGACAGCTGGGAAGAAACAAAACAATGTGGAAATTTTGTTTGCGTCGTCTCTTTGGTGTGTGGTAGAAGAGACGTCTTGCTTATTAATCGGGACGAAAATGCTTCCATAGTTTGAGTTATATCTGGTGTTTGATAACCTTTAATGAAAGATGGTGCATTAATTGAAAGTTTTATTTCTCATTTTCAAAAAACAAAAAAACAAAGATGTCGAAGGAAGAGGAAGTTTAATGTTACACTTGAAAACAAGTGAAAAGGTGATTCTAGGCTCTTTGTCTCCCCCTGCAGGTGTAAGTTTTAGCAACAATGGCCTCATTTCCACTTTTGTTGCATGGTGTACTCTGTTGTTGGAGTACACCATGCAACAATAGAGACTAACGAAAGCATATAATTGGCTTTAATAAAATAAAATAAAAGCAATCACTAGTGACAGTGATTGCTGTCACTGTCACAGCAATCAGTGACAGCAATCACTGTCACTGATTGTGGATGGTTTTAAAGAGTTTGAACAGTGGGTTCAAACTCTTTTCCCACTGTAAAATTCAAGCATTTTCAATGATTTCAGGCACTCGGACGAACCCCGTAATAAATCATTTCTCATTTTAAACAACAATTAAGGCACTTTTGGAGCTCCATAAGTTGTTGCTCTTGCAATTTTTACATTTGAAAATCATTCAGCGCATCAAACCTTGACAAATTATCTTAGCTTGCATCTCACATGACAATAATAAGTTATTAATCAGCAGAATAAGTTAAATTGTACAATAAGTTGAACTATCCATATTTCTTTAAATTACAGATGCTGGTGGCTGCAGGAGGTGAGTTTTAGGGTTAAATGTTCTACATTTTATGAAACTAATCTCCAGTTAACCTAGCTGAGTATTTCTGCTGACCGTGTTCATACAAAGGAATAGATAAGGCAGCATTTATTTAAATTTCATAGGTTATAAAACATATCTACACAAACCACGCCTGTTAAGTTGATGCAAACTGTGGCTGACTATTTCATATAAGGTATCTGTTGTAAACTGCAGATTCACTGCGAGTTTCGTCACCAAGCTGCTGAAGAAGGCAGATAAGAAAATAACATTTGCAACAAAGGAATGTGTGCGAGGTGATACCTCATTTTTCAGAGAGTTGGTGATGTAAAGCCTCTCCTGCTCTGATATCCGAGGGTGACTGTTTGGACTGTCAAAGACGAGGAAAGCCCACAGGACGAACCACACCACGCCGACAGCACCTGGACACACATGGACACAAATGCTTGCCTCACCACAACTCAAAACTTCAACACCCACATGACTGCACATACTCAGAGACGTGTGACTTTTATAGGTTCTAAGACTCGGAAAGGACAGCGAAGCAACTTTACAGCAAGTCAGCAAGAAGCAGATGCAGTGGAAGTTGTGGATGGTTTTAATCAACAAGCTGTTTCCTCTTCGGTCTGCTTAATCACTGTTTCCACAAAACAAAGAGGAACAAACAGCAAACTCAAACTGCTTCGTTGATACCACGTCGATTCATTCCTGACATTCTTCGTCACTCAATGGCAATTGATAAAACATCCAATGTTGTTGACCTTCATTGTCGTAATTTGATATCACTTAACATCTTATAAGAAATTCACAAACAGCCTGATTTAATATATGACAGAAAGAAGAATAACTTGTGGGAGTCTTTGTTGTTCGCCGTTTAAAAAGCAGTGATGTAACCCAAGTAGCAGATTAGCAGAGCGACTTTTCTTCAACTACCCGCATTCGACAGGCGTCATTACCAAAGAGGTAGAAGACGTAGGGCCAGCCCATGTAGAAGCAGATTTCACCAGACAGAGGCAGAGCCACGACGGTCCCCAGCTGGGCTCCTGGGACGGGACACAAAACGGAAAACATCAGCCGTCCACAGCTGCATACAATGAAACAGCAAGACTATTTATTTTCAGTTATTTATCGTTTGTTTGTATGTTGGAATAGTTTTAAAATATATGCATAGTGTACTCCTTCTCCAATAATGTCAATTTGCTACAACATAAGCGACATAAACTCAAACTGCATATAAAACAATAATGAAGAAAGAAACAAGACACATCCTTGTTTAAAGCACTCTACTGAGTCATCATGCTTCATTATACCCTGATAGATAGAATATTGCATTTTATTATTTTCTTGAAAGTAAAACTTGATCTACTCTCTCTGGTTTGTTTAGACAGATTTGTTCCATAAACAGAAACACAACGCTCCATTTGTTTACTTCTGACCTCTCAAGCTCTAAAGTCTCTCTTTTCATAATGCAAATGTGTTGGTAATATGCTATAACTTGCAGACTATAATAAGTTTAGTTGATTTTAAGTTGAAGGACAATTGGGCTTCTTGGACCTCTGTAGCGTTTTCTGCTTATATTTCTATCCATAAATATATTCTACAGCTGCTGATGGCGTAGCAGTGACCAAAAATAATCAATGAGAGTGATTAGCGAACAAGACTAATCTCAATATTCCAAATTGTTGGGATATTTGTTGTGTCATTTTATGACGACAATGTATGTCATAAAATCATAAATTAGCATCAGAAACTGGACAGTTGATCAACCTCATCCTCGTTGCTCCGAGTGTGCTACGCAGTAAACGACCTAATCAAATCATGCTCTGCAATTGGATTTAGCACTAAGGAAATTCTCGTGATTTCAGTTCAGAATCTCTGTATCATCATAAACATCAGCACTACTTGCTGCAGTGGAATTGGCTAAACAAAAAAAAAAAAAATACCATGCAGATAGATTATTTTCTGATTATAGCTTGTCAGATAATGGGGAACAATAAACAACTGTGTTTAGGAATGCACTGGTTAGTCGTGTTTGTGTTCTGATGAGACCTAAGCTGACCCACATGATTAATGGCAGGACGCCGTTAGCAGTTGTAGGGATATTAATGCAGCCTCTGTTAAACATGGCTCTAAATCACAGTGCAGAACCAAAAATGGCTTTAATAGAACGTGGCTGATAATGAAGTGAACATTTCGTAGCATATTTTCCTGCGTCTCTTCTCACCAATGTATGAAATGGTGAGCAGTCTGCTTCTCTCCAGCGGGGGGGCCCACGCTGCCCACATGGTGTACATCGCAGGGAACGTGACACCCTAGATACAAACGAAAAGAAGAAAAATTACAAAGAATCTGATAATAATATCTGGTTATTTATTATTTTTGTTTTTGCGTGTAAAGTATTCCCAGCCATTATGAGGCTTTTAAATCATCTCTGTCAGTTTTAGACACACTTAAATGTCCTGAATTTACCCGGCATTGCCACAGACTCTAAGTTACATTTAGATAAATACGCTGTGATCTAAAACATTTTACTTTTGCTTTATGGACAACAACTGAACCCCTGAAAGGTGAACTGCAGTCCTGTTCTCCACTCCTTCCCTCTTCCCATTAACTCAGAACATTTTCATTCTCCGTCATCATGTAAAGACGATGCGTTCATAATGGTGATTTTTTTTATCTTAGCTAATTTTAGCACATCCTGTAAACCTTATTATCTTCAGATTTCTTTTTAAGAAAAGTTGCAAATATTTGCAACATTTTTACTGAACATTTAAAGGGATGATTTTATGCCTTTTGCAGACACATAGCGCCATTTTACAGCGCAATAAAGTAACTATATCACCTTCAGTTGTTATGAAAATACCACACATATCAAACATGACTTATAAGAAATTTGACTTTTGCTTAGGCACTCTTGAATGGTTGCCGCGGGAGATTCAAGGATTTCTCAAACATGCATGAAAGAATCAAGGCAGCACTCAGGATATGTTTTTGATGAGGGAATAACATTTTAACACGACATAAAGCTGGGGGAAAAAAAGTCAATTTCACATAACACCAGCCCTTTAAACTTTTTTCAATAAAGAGTAGGGAGCAAATCTGATGCAACTGATGTCTAATATTTAAATTCTAAATGTACTTTTTATAACCACGGTTTTCTCATAAACTCCTTCAGATGAAGCTTTCCAAATGAGTATTATGCCATAAACACAACACTGATACTTGGAGCGACTCTGTTTTGTGCAAAAACTCCTTGACTTGTTTAACTCAATAAATTATCTCCGGACTGCGAGAAAGTCCAACACTTTCGTGACTGACTCTAACGACCGTGTTGCCAGGAACGTCCTTGCTTGCGTACCTCTCCGACCCCCTCCAGCGCTCTCACTACGATGAGGTAGCTCGCGCCCAGGTCGGCGGCCAGGGGCGTGAGCAGCGTGAAGAGGGCGGTTCCCAGCACGCCGAATCCCATCAGCCACTTGGCTCCGCAGCGGCCAGCCAGGTAGCCGCCGGGGATCTGCGTCAGGATGTAGCCGTAGAAAAAGGAGCCCAAGATCCATCCCTGAGTCGCAGAGTCCCAGTTGTACACACCGGCCTGAGAGAACACGCCAAGTTATTATTTTGAATATTTTTTTTGTAGAGCCATTTAGAATGCTGAAAGTAGAAGGCTGTAGTAGTACAGTGGTACGTAACCAAATGTGGCTGTAATACTCACCGACTGGTTGTGTTTGGGTTGTACGGAGGTGCTGTTGGGGGTGCACATCGAGCCACTGTGGTTACTTCTGGACTGGTGGGTGTTGTTGAGCATGTCCACCATCGCCACGCTGAGGTTCACCCTCAGAGAGTAGACCACGAAGAATCCGTAGCTGGAGAGCAACGCCAAGCCGTAGCGCGAAGAACAGCATGCTGGTGCTGAACGGAGGAGGAGGAGAAAACGGATAAACGGCCGGGTGAATAATTTCCAATGAATCATTGCATTGGTGTCCACAACATTTTCGACAATAACAGCCGTTATTACTGAAGAAATTAGAGAAACCCGGGTTTGGGATCCGCAACACGTTTGTTTTTAACCGTTTCAGAACTAGACCTACTTTCAGAACCACAGGTCCAGTTTAACACCTCCGTCTGGGAAGGTCAAGAGGCCATAAAAAGTATTCTAAATATTTATCTGTGCAAGTTTAATGTGGAAATCAAAGAAAAGATGCCATTAAATTAAGTAAAAATGACAAATTAAATAAAATTCTCTTTATGTGTGCAGGGTTTTGATGGGGGTTTTTTAACCTTGAAAACTCAATTTCATATTGTATCAGGCAGGAGAATAAATGATTAGACGGTAAAAAACAAAATCTTGAATTAGATAGTGGAACAAACTGTACAAACATTTATTTATGCTGTTTTTTTGATCTTCGCCAGTAGGGATTCAGATTTGGAAAATTATCAATCTAATTTTCCCAGCCTTTTTCAAGACAGAGTATCTTTAAAAAAAAAAAAGAAAAAAAATATCACTGGGGTACTAAATGCTTCCATTTTAAATAAGTTCATTCTGTTTTTAAATTAAACATATCTGTTATTCTTTTAAGTGTCTTGTACATAAAACTTATTACAGTTGTAGTTTATTTTATTACATTCATGTTAGAACAACATGAATGTCATGTTGGCTTTTTGTTTCATTACAAAATTGCTTCAGTCACCAGTCATCCAAACAGAAACACACCAAGTTTGCTCATAATTTTCCATTTCAATGTTATGTGTTAAAGAGCTTTGACATGAAAGGCACATATTTTTGCAAGAACTTTTATTCATTAAACAAAACAAAAAAAAGTATGCTCATATTTTCCAAGTTAATTCTAAACAAGTTATTTCCACCTCGAATCACCTTCTCTCCCTTGAATGCAGAAGTAGTTGTATTAATGATGTAATTAATTAATTTACACGCAAACTCTTTGTCACCGTAGTTCGACTTGTACGTACATCTCCAAGCTTTGCATTAAGCACAGGTAGGGACCATTATGATTCTACTGTATCACAATTTATTTCAGAATTGGGAAGCACCACTTCCTTAAATTGTAATTGCAGCACTGGCACAACTTTCCAAGCAAAGTTGAATTTTTGTCAGAAAAATTCAACTAAATGTAGTCTGTTAAAAACACTCCAACACTAAAGACTCGTAGCTGCAACTTGTGCTTCGCATGCTTAATTCTGAACTTTGATCTGAACTGTAACATGCGCAGTTTTTATGCAGGTATGTAAATAATGACGCCACTGACTCAGGTAAACCTGTTTCATGAGAGAAGACTGAGGTTGGCATAGGAAGTTCTCCACGAAGGCAAACAGGAAAAGATACGGATATTCATTGGGTACACCTGAGAGTCAGTGAAGTAATTCAAAACATATTGGCGATGTAAAATAGTTGGTGGCAAGGAGTGAAGTTCTTGTTGACAAGTGTAAACAAAACAAAACAAAAATGGAAGTGGGAGCTTCTCGTCTTTAAGTGCACTTAAAAATAACTTAAATAAACTCTGAAGTGTCCTTTTGCGTTCTTGAAACAAAGAAAACCAAACCATCAACTCATATCTGTTGGGTCAATCTTGCTAGCCTATTAGCTGCAGATTTTTTTTTTTTTTTAATATTATTATTATTGTTGTTGTCTCACCTCTCTGGATTTTGTCGTCTTGTCTTCGGTGAAGGAGCGGCCTTTGCTGTTCGTCTTTCTCGGCGTCAGAGTCGTACCGCTCCATGTTTTCAGCAGAAAGTGGCCAGAAGACGGTAGACAAACAGCTAAACGAGAATCATCACTGTAACCAGAGTGAGAGGAACGAAAGCCTTTCTGCAGTCAAAAACTAAGTCACGTGATCTGCGTCAGCGGACAGGAAGTAATGGTTTTCTATATGGCAAGTAAGTTTGTCATATAATAGTTAGGCTCTTCAAGATACAGTGCCGTTAAAAATATCCTCACCCAATATTTCAAATATACTTTTTTGATAGTAGTAACCTTAAGTAGACATAAGGAGGAAACATATTGGCCCGAGACCAGGAATTGAGCTGAGAACTATAGCCCCTATATTTTGCCCGCGCTCTGCCAACTGAGCCACCCGCCACCACATTTCAAACGCACCTTTGCGGTGACGTATTTCCGCTTACATTTAACACACGTTGATCACTTCCAGTTGCCACACGCGCTCTATTGTTTTTGTTGGTTACTGCTAGAGCTAAACCATGAAAAGAACTCAAAGGTTTAAACATTTGCGGGCTACAGGTTCCACAGCGGAGTTCTGTTGTGTGCCATTTTGTCCAATGACTAGTAGGTACCCAGCCAGCATGCCTAGGTGGGACCCATGTGGGGACAAGGAGGGCAGACTATATGGGTCCCATATGGGTTTGTCCGCGGGTTCCACGATGGCCCCACATGGGTTTGCCCATGTAGGGCCACAGCCCACATGGGTGCTACATGGGCCCTAATTGGACAAAACCCATGTGGGCCACCACCATATAGGGCCCATGCAGGGCCCATGTGGGCTCTGGCCCTACATGGGCAAACCCATGTGGGGCCATCGTGGAACCCGCGGACAAACCCATATGGGACCCATATAGTCTGCCCTCCTTTTCCCCACATGGGGCCCACCTAGGCATGCTGGCTGGGTATAAGAGAGTACTTAGTTTTTTCCATTTTCCTTCTAATTTGGAGTTAAGGCAACAGTGGATAGTGGCTGTTCGCAGGGAAAACTTGATCATTAAAGCTCACACTCGCGTGTGTAGCCGGCATTTCAAACTTCGGGATATCAAAGAGCCAGCATCACAAATGGGAAGAGGCGATTAAAATGTGGAGCTGTACCGGTATTATTTGAGTGGAACAATTACTCTCTTCCATGACCAAAACCAAGGAGTTTGGAGAAAGTAGCCGTGGATGTCCTTAAAGAACATAATTATGCCTCAGTTCCTGAAGCTGCAGTGGTGGATTTAGTGTTGGAAAATAATATTCTTAGGAAAGAAATCCACCAAACACAGGAACAGATTGGCAGCCTTATGCTGAAGCAGCGGTTTGGCATTCACCATTTTGCTTCTTCCAACAAGGACATTCGATTCTTCACAAGGTAAGTGTGTGTGCATTGGTGTTTGTAGTATAAAGAATATTAAGTCAATTCAGGAAACTCATCCAAAAGTTTTATACAAAAACAAAAAAGTCCTTAGTGTTTATATTGCAAATTTGATCAAATTGGAAAAACAACCCATGTAACTTCAGTGCCCTCTAGGACAGGGGCGGCAGCACCACAAAATCATTCCATACTTGTAACAAAGGGCAATTGGAGCCAAATCAACCCATCAAATTAAAGCCCAAACTTTTCTTTCCATGTTCTGTGAAAAATTCACAGAACAATAATCCAGA